ATGGCTGAATAAAGATAAAGACCAACACCCACACTCTACGTCGAGAAAGCAAGAAAACTCGCGAAGGACTACATAGATACTTTGCTTAACATTGCATTAAATATAGAAGAGTAATCATGCGAATAACACTTTATTGACGAGAACTATTATTCTTAAATCTCTTGTCAACTTTCATTTTTTTTTGCTGATATCATAATAAGAATCGAAATACACTCATAGAAGAATAAATACAATTGTTTTTCAAAGTTAAATAATTAAGACCTCTCTGTCATTACAACATTCGAGGAAAATTGAAACAAAAGTGTGCCTTGGGTGTTTCATTCGGAGACCAAGCAAAGACTTCACTAGCAATTTATAATCGAAAGGTTTACAAGAAACAAAATATGTATTAATGGAGTTCAATTTCCGGCGAATTCCCAGCGGATCTGATGGAATTATTCGTTCTAGATATGAATGTTTCAGCGCAATATATTTTGAAAACCTTGTAAAGTATCATTTCTTAGCATTTTATTTATATAACAGAAGTCTCATAGACTACTAACAACAGCATACACAAAAAAAGTTTGACTAATTAATACAATAATCATAACAACAAAGACACAAGAAATATATATATACATTGACATGCTGTACAAAATAGACAAGACTCATTCATGATTTATAATCGAGAGTTATCATCTAAAAGAGAAATAAAATTTTAGATAGAAAAAAGAAATTGATGAAATAAATCTATTTACCATCCTGTGGTGCTGCACGTTTACGTCCACGAGTAGCAGTTGAAGTACGAGGTTTTTGACCATGTCCACCACCTGGTTCATCATTAAGAATACGACGATAATTAATTAATGGTTGCCATGCATCACCATCAATTGTTGCATTATGAACAAGTTTATCAACATGATCATAGATTGCTTTTTTATCTGGTTTAAGAAGTTTTGATGCAAATTCTGGTAAAACTTCAAGAAATAGAATATTTGGACCGGGTTGAGATGGATCATCATGTTTGAATAATGGTGTTAATGCAAAACGAATACATTCACTAGAGAGAGAAAAAAGCAACATATAGATATATTAAATTTATTACAACATACCGATGAAGAGCAGCAAGTGCTTCTCGTTGTTTAGCCATATCAAGACCAAATGAAAGATTAAATCGACGTGCTAATTCCTAATACGAAAAATAAACATTCAAAAAATCTTTTCTTTTATAATTAAATTATATTCTTACTCGTAATGGTGATAAATCAATAGCAATAGTTTCATCATTGCCAGCTGCTTCTTGTGCAGTATCACGAGCTGCAACACAATCTTTATAAACCTAGAAATTCCAAAAAAATAAATAATTTCAAAAATTCTTTTTCTGCTACATACAGCCATAAGACTATAAGCCATTGTTTTTGCAGTATGAATTTTGGAAATATCTCGAGCACGTGTAAATGTATTTTTAATAATATCACCAAAATCATTGCTAAACTATAAAAAGAAAAAATATACACATAAAAAAAGTAAATTTTCATTTTGTGAAAAATATACTTTAACATAATATTTAAGAATATTTGTTGCAGCTTGTATTGGTAAAACATTATGTACGATTAATTTACAATATGCAGCTAATAAATTACGTTTTTTATGAAGTGTTTCAATTTTTCCTTGTTCATCTTGATCTAGAAAATATCGAAATTTAGATTAAAATAATAAGAATAGATTTATTGTCAATTTTACTTTTTGGTTCTTCAGCAAAGAATACATATGTATTTAAGAATGTTAATAAAGCTTGAATAAGATTTTCATTAATTTCAACAACAAGAACTTGATAATCAGGATTTTTATCAACTAAATGAGGACTCATACTTATTAATAAATCACATAATGTTGAATATGCATAATGACAAATTTGAGTATTAGCATGTAACATTAATTTTTGACATAGAGCACATAATTTACGAGTTCGTTTTACAAGTTTTTTTAATAAATCCTAAATTAAATTTATATTTTAATATGAATGATTTTCTTCTTTATAATTACCTTATCAAATTGAATATCCAATTGATATAATCCCCAAAGTAAACTACGATTAGCAATACCAAAACATTTATCAACAATCTATAAAAAAAAGAATTAATTTTTAAAATAAAATAATTTCAATATCTATTTTACCTCTGGTGACATATCTTCATTATCAATAGCTGCTTTAAATAATAAATGTATTTTATCCCATAGATCTATATTATCCAAATCATGACATCTTGAAAAAAAAATTAATTATTCATTATATTATTTAAAAATTTTTGTTTCTAGTCTTACTGATGAAATGCATCTAATTTTCTTAAATTAAGTAATAATGGATATAAATCATCTTCATCAGCTTCATCCTAATAAAATTAAAATAGAATTATTATATATAATAAAAAAAAAGAATCTTATCATACCATTTCTTCAAAAATACCCATTGCAGCATTAAAATTTGCTAAAATTTTATCAATTATATTTCCACGATGTGCAATAGCACGATTTGATAATGTAAAACTAACATCACAAACACATTCGAAACATTTTGAAACAGCATCAAATATCTAAATTTTAAAATAAAGATAAAAACAAAATATATCTACATATTGAAAACAAACTTCAGCTGTTGTATGTCTTTGTACAATATCACTCAATGCTGTTAAATAAGCATCAAGATCACGTTCACGTCGTGTTGTTGTATAAACTTCGTAATTGAAATGAAGTGGAATTTGTAATAAATTAAGTAATTTATCAGCATCAGCAATATACTAGATAAATTTCAAATAAAATATTGATTAACAGGAAAGAAAATACTTTACTTTATTAAGTAATGGTGGTAAAGTACCGATAAAATGATCGGTTAATACACGTTTATCATCTTCTTTTTGTTTTTGTTCTTTCATTGTTAACTACAAAAGAAAATTTATTTTAAAATTCCTATTTTTTTATATATTTACTTTTCGATTTGGTTGACCACGACCAATTGGATATTCACCAGTAGCTGCTTCACGTACACAACAAACCATAATTTCAATTAAACAATTTTCATGTTGATCATCGAGTGCTAAAATAAATATTTATACATTATTTTGTTTTCTCGACCGAAAATATTAAACTTACGATCTTCTTCTTGATCGGGTGCTTCAAGTAATATATCAGTCATACATTCCCAATCTTTCATCATTGGATGTTGATCCCACATAGAATCAACCAAATATGTTGCATGTTCATGAAGCTAAAAATTAAACGTCATTGTTAAGAATTATAATAAAATATATTTTACCTCGCTTTCAATAAAAAATTGTACAAGTAAATGCATAAAAGCTGTATTTTGACTACGTTTTTTCGATGATGTTAATGGTTGTTCAGCTTTATGAAATAATTTTTGATTAAGAAATTCTCCAGCAGCTTGTGCAACTTGTCGATGTGAATGATACACAAGTTCATAGATATTTTCACAATCTTTATCTTCAAGTATACGTTCATTAAATCTAATATTCAAAAAAAACAAATTTCATCGTGTTTTTTCTTCTCTTTCAAGATGATTTTTACTTTAATATAGCAGTTAAAAGTTTAATTGCTTGTACAGCTACTTCATATTCACAATCAACTGTCATTTGTACAATACGATCTTTAAATCGATTTGTAAATAATTCAAGTTTACCAACAAGATCAGTTGTTTGAAATAATGGTATTAAGGCAAGTAAACAACGTAAACGACAATCACCAACCTAAAAGAATGAATAGATTTAATATTAAAAAGAAATGTTTAGAATTTTTACTTTATCATATAAAGTCCAACCAATATATTTAAGATAAATATCATCGAGAAAAACCATCGGATAACTTTTCATCCATTCACCAAGTTCACTCATACACAAACATCGAATATCTGGTACAATATCTCTAAAATAATATAGATATATGCATATTATCAGTTAATAGATTTTTTGAATATATACCGATAACGATGAATAAAAACACCTTTAAATATAAAATTCATAAAACTTTTTATTTCATTTTCATTTCCTTCAAGCTAAAAAAAAATAAAATGAATAGAAATATTATAAAATACGAAATATTTTTCTTGAAAATAAACCTCTTTTCGTTTCGCTGTTAATGTATCAAGTCGATCAGCAGCACGTCGTGCACTTGATTTTTGTCGTTCAGCTTCATATTGTCTTTGACATTGATCTTTTTGTATACTTATTGTTAATGCAATATCAACAAGAGCTGTCATAACTTTTAAAACTAAAATAACAAAAAAACTTATATTCTTCCGTATAATCGACAAGAATTTAATTTTACCAGCAAGAGTTCCAGTATGACGAAAAGCACGTACAGGTGAATCAGATAAAGCAGTTAATAATGTTACAAGATTATCAATCATATATTGATCATAAATAATAGAATAGGATGCTTGTTTTATTAATAATACAACGAATTCACTGAATGATGTACGAAATTTTTTATATTGTAAACCAGCCATTATTATTGGATATTCCGATGTATCCTTAAAATAAAATAATTAAATTCTTTAGCATTTTTTCATTCTATGAGAATTGAAATATTATATTACCTCATCAAAATGTTCAGTCATAGCTCGTAACATATCAACATGTTCCATTTTTAAATACATTGCTTGTGTTAATTTTCCTTTACAACCACTACTATCCAAAAAGAATTGCATTAATTCAATTAATGCTTCATCACGATTAGCTTGATATGAATCAATCCATTGATCAACTAATACTTGTATATTCGTTTTTCCAGCTAATAAATGATGAAAATATCCTTTTTCTTCGGATTGTTGAGCACTAGCAAATGTGGTATTATTTCCTGTTGTCATTGTAACTGAACTTGTTTCCATAGAATCATCATCAGCTTGATTAATTGTTGCACTTGTTTTTCTTCCTGTACGTGATGGTCGTCCACGTCCACGTCCAGGTGTTGTTGATGGACGTCCTCTTGCTGCAGCTTTTGGTTGAAATTCTTCACCTTCATCTTCATCATCATCAATATCATTTGGCAAAACAGATGCGGGTGGTTCAACAAAATCATCACCAAGTGAACGTTGTACATGTTGTCTTAATGAACGTGTATTTCCATTAACTGTCATTTTGTTTTTTTTTCTATCTGAAATTAAAATCAAAAGGGAAAGGATAAAATTTTTCTTGTTTATTATTGTTGTTATTTTTTGTTTTTGTTTATACGAAACATACACAAAACATTGGTGAAAAATAAAAATGACATAGATTCTCTAAAAAATACAAATACAACAAGCAGGTATAAATAAAAAGAGAAAAATATCACACAAAAATCAAACGGAAGGAAAAGAACTGGGTACATAGAAAAAAAAAGAAAAAGACAAAGAATGACTAACATATAAGGTAAAGAAAACGTGATATCTTGCATAGAGATCTAAGTAAATTGGTATGAAAAATTTTAATCTAGATATTTTTGTTTTGGTAAATGCTAATTATAATAAATCGTTGATTTCTTCTTGCATATACATATATTTATGAATTAAAGGCATATGATATTTCAAAAAAATTTAATCACTTTCATCCGAATGTGAATTATTTTCTGTTTCACTTTGAGACATTGATTGTTCTTTCATATCGATTTCAACTGGTGCAAATTCTTTCTTTTCTTCTTCTTTAAATGCATATTCTATATCAAGTGTATAAGTAAATTGACTTTTTGGTTTTATCCATTTTTCTGGTGCTTCTTCAGCTTGTGGTATAGCAACTGAACGAATCTAGAAAAAAAAAATTAATACATAAGAAAATCAATATATTTAAAAAAAAACAAATTGATTTACTTGACAATGCGAAATAAATGCTTGTGACATTGCATATTCAACTTCTGCTATTGGTTCAAATTTTTCCGGTACTGGATCATATGATGGAATTGTTAATTTACATTCGAATATATGTGTTTTATAAGCACCTTGATCACGTTTTGGTAATTGATCAATACGCCAAACAATACAACGAAATGCTTGTTCATATTTTGCTACACCAACTGACGCTGCCATCATTGCTGCAAGTGGATCACCACGATGAAGCATAAAACGATCAAGACCCTAGGAATGATTAGATTAATTATTTAAAATAACCGGAAGAAAGAAAAAGAATAATTTTCTTTCGTGATATGTTCATCAAAAATGAACAAAATCATTATATAAAATATTCAGATTCTAATTGTTTATAATTATGATTAAAAATAAGCGCATAATTGATTGATAGTCTTATCATTTTAATAAAGTGTAATAATACTTAAAACTTACTATCAATGACTTGATTGCGTGATAATATTAATGTAAATTCTTTGTCGAGTGATTCTATTTTTAATATTATTAGTTACAACGGAAGTTAACTTAGTGACCTACTTTAGATTTTATAACAAAAAAATCTTTAAATCATTCGCTGTCTTAACCTTTTGTAAAATATTATTGACCAAAAAGAATAAAAAACTGCTCTTTTGAATCTTTTATATCGTGACATGTCAATTGAATCGGAAGAAAACATTCTGCATTATTTCCCACACATCGTGACGTATTATTATTAATCAAAATAATAATATATTTTAACATAATGTTTAAAAAGAAATGCAATCAATTCTGTATCTAATATCTTAGAAGAATAAGTTGTTGTTTTTCTTCTTTTCTCTAGAGAGATACAATCTTCTTTGATCATGTCTACATAGAAGAATGAACGCCTATATGATCAAATTATATATTTTCTTATGAAAAACAAAACTGAATTATATTTGCACAATATTTATCATATTTATTACCTTAATTTTTCCTGCTTTACGACGGACACTATGTATGGCTCCATAACGAAAACGTTTTTCAACTCGAAACATATAAACCCATGCATCAGGTATTGGAAAACGTATTTGAATATTTTCACATGGACATTGTTCATCACTGTTATCATCACGTATGTTAGCTGTTTTATCATTTGTTGCCATTGATGATGCTTTTGATAATATACTTATATTAAATGCATTCGATACAATGACTTCAATTCGAATATTTACTTGTCGTTCAATTAATGACATAAAACAATAAACCTAATTTATTTTTAAAAAAACAAAACATAAAGTAAATATTATTATTATTATAGGATTTACCTGTAATGGTAATTCAACATTTTGTTTAGGTCGTGTACGAAAACGCATAATTTCGATTTTTTGACTATCCGGTGGTATTAATTTAAGTAAATGTGTATTTTCATATTCGCTTGAATCAATAATTGTTGCTAATTCAACTTGTTCTGGTTTAATCCAATATTCTTGTAATGTTTTATTAATAATAATTTCATTCCGTTTATTAACTTCTTTACCATGACGAAACCAATCATTCATACCAATTTCAACAACTGGTTCAGTACCATTTAAAAATGCCAAAATAAATACACGTGTACGAGATTTATGTTTACATATATGACGATATTTATCAATATGTGCATAATATTCATCTAAAATTTTAATTGTAACTTCTTCTTTTAAATGTTTTTGTAATCGACTACGTGTTACAGGCATTGTCCAAAATAAATCATCTAATATAATTGAAAATTGTTTAAGATATGTATAATTTAATTGACCAAATTTAACAATTTCTTGTTGAACACAATTAGCATGATCAAGTAAAACTTGTTGAGCTTTATTTGGTCGAGTAAATTTTCTTAATAATTTTTCTGGTAATGTTACAAGACGATCCATACGAACTTGAGGAATTTCTTTGTAACTAGCTTCAAAAACTTTAAATGTATGAATTTTTGAATATTGATCATGTTGTTGAAGACTTAATTTAGTACATTGATACCATGTTTGTAATTCAATTTCAGCAAATGTTTGTTCAGGTGTTTGAGGAAGATAAAAACGTAATTTTTTTTCGTCAGATGATATTCGAACTTGAACTTCTTGCCAATTACGTGATTCACTAAATCTTTGAAATGTACTCTTATATAAATCTTTTTGTCTTAATGGTACACGAATTTGTAATAACCATCCATTTGTTTGTTGTAATTGAATTTCATTAATATCACTATGATATGCATCTAATGGTGCACTATCATCTAAATCAGGTTCATGTAAATAATAATCCACTGATTGTGCTCGAGCTTTTTCTTGCTAAAATTAAATATTGAAAATTAGAAAAAAGATCTATTCTATAAATATTTACAAAAATATAATACCAACCTTAGATACAATTTGTCATATACATACAAGACAACAATAAACATATATAGGACAACATTAAAGCATACCCTAACTTCTTCTTGATTAATTTTTGTATCTGTTGCTGGTTGTTCATCCCAGTCACTTATAAGATTATTATTTTGTTTTTCATTCGTTTTATTTTTCATAGGTTTTGAACGAAACATAGCTAATGGATCATTTTCATCGTCTGTAGCTGATGATGATGAACTTGCATCATCACTTGCTTCTTTATATTTTTTCGTTGTTGATGGTGATGGTGGTGGTGGCAATAATGGAACAGGTATATTCATGTCATTAAAAGATGTATCATGTTTTTTTTCTGATATTTTAAAAACCATTTTTGAATCATCAGAATCATCGGAATCATTATCATTTTGTTGTTTCATAGCTTTTTTCTTGTTATCAAAATATCCTTGGGGAACAATATTGCTATCATTATGATCACTTGTTGGTTCATGAATACAAATTGATGGAACATCTTCAATTGATGGACGACGTATAGATGGTTTAGGAATTGATATAGGTGAAGATACAGTTGATTCTTGAGCAACTTCTTGAACTGTTGTTAATGTTGTTGGTGGTTGTGGTTGTTGTTGTTGTTTATAAATACTTCCTAAAAGATCTTCTGTACTTTTTAACATATTAATATCAGCTTTTTTTGATTGTCCACTTAAATTAGGATCGACACCACACATTAAATCATCGGATTGTGTTAACCAATCAAGAAATTGATCATCATAGGGTGCTGTCGATGTTGTTGTACCTGTCATAATTGTTAATGCTGTTGCTTGAATACGTAATGTACTTGGTGATGTTGGTGGAGCATTTGTTGGTAATGAATGATATGATGCTGCTGTTGGAATATTTGATTTCGTTAATAAAGATGTTGATGGTGATGAATTTTTTGTTGGATTTAATTTTTGTATATCAGTTAAACTATCACTTTTTAATACTTTAACTGATGGTGCTGGACTAGCTTGCTGCTTATTAAGACCAAGAAGATCATATGATGATTGTACTTGATCAGAATGTGTTAGTGAATTATCAGAATTATTTGCTGGTAATGTACTTGGATCAACATTCAGATCATATAAAAGATCAATTGCTGTAGCTTGTACAGGTACAGTTGATATATCATTTGGAATTGTTGGAATTGAAAATGGATTAATAAGATTAATACTTTTTGAATGTGTTATATTATTGTTATTCAGTGATAAATTTGTTGTTTTATCTTGAATATTTTCAAATGGATCAAATGAAGGTGCTGGTTCATTGGCATTATTTTGATAGGCATTCCAATTTGTTGATGATAATGCATCTTTTCCACTACGAAATTTATTATTTTCGTCATTTGATGCTTCAATTATAAATGGACTATCATCAAATCGTTGTGAAGATGCAGATAATTTCATATCAGTTGAGATACCAAATGGATCCATTGTTGATGTTGATAAATTTCTATCAGTTGATATACCAAATGCATCAGTTGTTGATGTTGTTAAATTTTTATCAGTTGATATACCAAATGGATCGACTGTTGATGTTGTTGATGTACCAAATGGATTATTTGTATGATTATCATCTGAACCAAATACATCAGCAAATGTACTAAACATTTTTTGTTTTCTATTTTATTTTAATTAATAATTGATCATGACGTGATTCTAAAAAATAAAAATCAAATGTGTTATTATTGTAATAGGAGAAAAAAAAGAATCCGTTTCGATTTCTTATTAGAATAAGAAGAACGCCAAATGACAACGCGATTGACGTCAACGCCTCCGCATCATTTTCTTTCTTTTAGGCTGTTTTCTGTCTCCCGTTTTTTTCTTCTTCTTCTTCTTTTTCTATTCTTCGTTTCCTTATTCAGTTCGTTCAACTTGCACTGTTAAGTAAACAATAATAACAGAAAAGAAAGAACGATGAAGACAAAGCTACTACATGTATATACATCCATTAGCAAACAGAAGAAAGATGGCAAACAAAGAAGTTTTCATATGATTGGTTATAGTCGGCATTTTTTTATTTGAATAAAAAATATTTTATGTATTTTCATCATTATTTATAGATTTTATTTAAAATTAAATGACGTACTTTTTAAAAACTGATAAGTTAATTGTTTAATAGATGTCGCCCGTGTGTTAGAAAACATTAGTGTGCATGCGTGACTTTTTTGAAGGAAAATAGTAACATCTAACGTTCAAATATATATTAGATTTAGTTTTGATAATCATTTATACTTTGATTCTACCTGAAAATTAGTAATAGCGTAAATTATTTTATTGTTATAACTGTAAATATATATATGATCGCTCTTGATAAGAAAAAATGAATTCTATTTAAATAAAGTATTTATTTAATTCAAAGATTATTTTTATTGAATAAATGTAAAAATACATTTTTCGAACAAATGAAAGAATAAGAAGATCAGTCCCAGAGTAGCAATGATTTAGGAAATTCTTCAATCTTCATCAAACCATATTTTAGTTCGATTGAATAATACTTTCTAAATATAAAATAAATCGTAATTTTTTTCTAAAAATTTTTTTGAATTCAAACCTGTAGTTTTTGTAATTTCTGTTCTAATAATCCAATTCGTAAATCTTTAAGTTGATTTTGTTCTTGTAATTCAGCAATTTGTTGTCGATAAGATTCTTGAACAGAACGCTTAAAGAAAGAAAAAGAAAAGGAATGATTTTTAAAACAAATCATCATGATTTTTTATACTATTTTATCATTAATTAATAATTCAATATCACTTATCAAATCATTTGAATATGTACGTAACGACTGAACTAATGAATAATCTGATGATAACATATTTGGATCAAGTAAAGGTTTCTCTTGATTATCACAGACAAAATCTTGTAAAGTAGGAGGTGAATGTTGTAATTTTGATCTAGTTTTAAAAAAGCCAAGTCAATGAATTAATTTTAAATTAAAAAAAAGTATTTTGTATTTTTACTTTAATGATATTGCTCGATTCGAACGACATAATGATATCTGTTGATTATCATTATTTACATCTTTTTCACTTATTTCTTGTATAGCTGAAAGAATTGGTGGTGGTGATGGTGGTGGCGGTGGTGCTATTACTAGTTGTTGTGTTAAACATGATGCAATTGATGTTAAAGTACTAAATGCACCTTTCATTTTTTCTGCTGCTTCTTTTTTTGCTCTTTCAAAACCAAGTCGATTTTGAGCATATTCATATAATTTACGTTCAGCTTCAGGATAATCTCGACAACCCTCAAGAACATCTTCTTTTGATAAAGAAAATAATTCTGAATAACCAACACTTCGTACATCAGCTGTTCGTCGATTAGCACCATCAATATTTAAAATTCCAATTTCACCAAAAAAATCACCTGGACCCAAACGTGTTAGAACATCATTTTTTTCACTAGAAATATTAGATTGTTTTTTTATTTAATCACAGATTATATTTACTTGACTACTTCGAGAACACCATCGGCTATAATAAACATTTCACGTGCAACTTCACCTTTGCGACAAATAATGTCTCCAGGTGTAAATATATACGCACGCATTTTTAAAACAAGATCGTGAAGAAATTCAGGTTGACATTCTTGAAATATAGTTACCTTTTTTAAGGTTCCTAAATTCACATGCAACGCTAATTCTGTTTTAAGTTTATCTGGTAAAAGTTTTATTGAATGAACATCACCAGCACCCGACATACGACCACGTGACCATGAATAATCGTACCAACGTTGTACACGTCGTTGCATTTCAGCTGGTACATTATGAGAACGCATATATTGTTTTGCACTATCCTAAAAGATAAAAAAAAAAAAGTTCTTGAAAATAATTTAGTCTTAAATTTTATTTTAATTCTAACCAATAAACGTTCAAATTCCAACCGACTAGCATTTCGATTTGTAATAACATTTCCAACTTGTCCTAATAAAAAATAAAAATAAATTTTTCAATAATTTTATTTCAATTTTACCTATAATTAATGAATAAACAAATATTCCAATCATATAACCAGTAATAGCAAAAACAGCCCTCAAATATAAATGAACAATGTGATGTGTATCTGAGTAATTTATCCATAAAATGCAATTCTTATTTGTATATGAAAATTATTTCTCAAGAAGAACTCATTATTTTACTTTCTTTTTAATATTTATTATTGCTTACCCACGATAATAGCTATGACGAAAACAGCGAACAAGTGAACGCTTATAAGAAAAGCGTAACTAAAATAATGAAAATAGATTTTTTGTTCAAATAAATCAAATTCTACATATTCAGTAGAATACACAAAGCATTTATATTTACCGTTTGTTCGAAAAATTTTTGAGCCATCTAGCTTTTGAGAATAGAAAAAAAGAAAGAAAAAACAAGACGAACAAGAGAAATTTTAAAAACTCTTAAGACTATATAGAAATAAAAGAATCTACTCACTGCCAATTCGTTTCTGGTGGTGGTAAATCTCCAATAGTTGTTAATGTTAATGTTGACCAATAAAGACAACGAAGATACATTCTTGCTAATTCAGAAAAATTTCCAACAGGTTTTGGATATGACCAATATCCAACAAAACCTTCAGCTTTCGATACCATAAAATAAAATGATGCTAACCAATGTCCCAATAAAAGTAGAATATGAAGAAGATTCATAACACGATATGTATTTGGATAGACCGTACGTGATTCTTGATAATAATAAAGTTGAAATGTTCGATAAATTTTTAGAAAACGTGGAAAACGAAGAATTGGTATTGAACCAAATTTAATTTGAAGTAATTCTAATGGTGTTAACGAGAGTATATCAAGTAGAAAATTAGAAGAACGTATATAATTGATTGTAAGTTTGTAATGATTGTAAACAAGTAAACCTAGAACATATTTTTTTAAATAAAATTGTTGATTTCAGTACCGAAAAAAAAAGACGATCCGACGATAGAAAATATAAATATGCAATTAAAAAAAATCATTAATTTTTAATTTCTATGTCAACTAATTTATACTTTTTGTTTGTAGAGTCAATATGATTAAAAAAAACTTTTTAGATTATTTTAGTATACCTTGTTCAAGATAACCGGTACGAAATTGAATAAAAATATCAATAAAATATATTGAATCAGCTATATAATCCATAATTTCCCATATTTTCGAATAATCTCTTTGTAATGGATCGAATGCTTGACGTGCAATTGCAAACCAAAGATTATATAATACAAAGATATTTAATATAATTAACCAATAGAATAAAAATGATTCATCTGTTGATACAACAAAATAATTACAAGTTCGAAGTATTCGTCGTACAAATTTATAACGTGATTTAATAGGTTCATCTTTTTCCATATTTAAATGAAAATTTCGTTTAATGGGATCTTAAATATAAAGATTTTGGGATTCATTTTTATATAAAAAATAGATTTACCCATTGCTCCCATTCCACGATAACCATACCGATTGGAAAATTTTTGTAAAAACGAATCTTCACGTTTTAATGATTTGTGTGATTTGACTGCAGTCATTGTATGTCGATGAAGATTCTATTAGGAAAAAAAATAAATATAATATATTTTATCATTTAAAAACAATAGTTTTCGTTTTTTTTTGTTAAAAAGATTATCACCATGTGTTTGATATCATTGCGTTCGATTGAATCTTCTTAATTTTGTCGTCGTTGTATAATAGAACTCTTTGCATTTTTTTTTGTTCATTTAAACATGTTTCTCAAACAAGTTCTTTCTCTTATTCTATATGTTTTAAGTATAAGTAAATAATAGCAAACAAATGTTGATAATTTATTTCGGAATTCTCTATCATACTCAATTAAATGAAGAGCAACGGGCGTAATGTGAAGATGATGAATAAGATGTTGAAGAAGAAGAAGGAGAAGTAGTAAAAGAAGAGGAAACAATAGATTTCTCTTTTTATATCAAATTTATTTCTATGGGTTTGATTAACGACATAAGACTCATTCATTTATTCATGAATAAAAAGATTCTTATATCTATTCACTATAATTCGAAAAATAAATATAATTAATCAAAAATACTCACATCATCAATAGATGATGAAGACGACAATTGATTAGCAACAATAGATGCTTTGCGCAGGTAATCATTCGTATTTAATGCATCAGTTGAACTCGGTTGTTGCTGTTGCTGTGGTGGTTGTTGTTGTTGAGATGAATATTGAGGATATGATGATGATGAAGATGAGCAACCGCCGTCTTTATTGAGTAAATCGTTTAGTACTGGAGTTAGAGCAGCCAATGGCATGTTAATTCTATCAGGAGATCAGTGCTGAAATAAACGTCATGTTAAAGACTTTTAGTTTTTTTTCTTTTTCAAATGACATTTCACGATTGACAGAAAAATATTCGATTATATATTGTTTTACTCAATTATCTATATTAACATTGAACGAAGAAATGCCAAACAACAACTTTATTCTTTCTTTCCGCTTCGTTCATCTCAACTTACATAAATCTAAATATTAACATCACTCTAAGGACGTATAAATTAGTTCAAACATATTGCAAAAGACTATCTGTCATGATCAGTCATAGTTTACAAGAAACATAACATGATATGTTTATATCATTCTCATTTTACCTTATCTGTGTTTTTCTTTTGTTTTTCTATTATCTTTATTAATTAATGAAGTTTTTTAACTTACCTTAATAAAAATTATGTAGTTGAATGTATTCATTGATGTTTGTCAATGTGTAAGCCGTAGCCTTCTTCTTGTCGTTTTTCTTATACAATAAATTAGTTATATGCTCAATGACTCTTCTTGCTTTCTATCTTTTCTATGCATTCTTAGTCAAGTAATCTTATTCAACCTCAGAGAAAAGATAGAATAAACTTGTGTTTCTTTTTTTTTTATTCAGACATGCATTTCTTTTGAACGCATAAATGAACAGAGAACGTTTTGTAACACGAAAGGAAACATATAGATGATATAGAAGTTTCTCAAAACTATATCAGATTAACTTTTCTCCTTAAATATATTTTTTCCTTAGGCAAATTTTTATCTGATGACAACGACAATTCATTGGTTTTTCTATAACATAGTTATTTAGACCGATCTAATATATAAGTCGAAAGAAAAAAAATAACAGAAGGGATGACTAAACGGAAATTGTCAAGTTAGTTAGATTGTCTAATATATATACACATGAATTATTATAATAAGTAACAAGGATAATTCGAATTAGAATGTGCATGTAAATCAATTGAACCGAAGCAATGTCATTTTACATCAAGATTCGCCTAAATAAGTATGAAACAGTGCAGAAAAAAAAGAGAAAGTTATGCATAATCTTTTCTCTCGAATAACTAATGAACAACAATAAGAAAATGTTTTGTCTATTCTGATCAAGCATCAGTATTATAAAATATACGAACTACCTACCTACACATTTAATTAAAATATAAATAATAAATATAGAATAATAATGAATTAGATTTTTATTAAAGATAAACTAATTTCGAAATAATAAAACAAACAGACAATATATAGCATTTTCAAAAAAAAAATTGATCTTATATAGATTAAACCATATGTTATTGTTTCTTTATAAAAATACAATTATATCATGATACATCACCGATATGTGAACGTAATAATGTTTGAGAAACACAAATACGATAACGTCCACGTGGTGTTTCACGCATTATTACACGAATTGGACTTGATTCATGAACGGTATCACTACTTGTTGAAGAACGCTAGAATAAAAATAAACAAAGATATATCCAATTCGTTTTTTGTTTTATTTTTCTTACTGCATTAGTTGGTGCTAGCAAAGGTTTAATGTCTATATTAAGATAATCAGTATCGGGTGATAATGATTTTTCTGATGGAAGTTTAGGTGGTGTTGTTGAAATTATTGAATGTTGCCGTTGATGAGATATATCAGATATTTTATCATTCGTATGACTACTTATATCACATGGCTTTAGACCATATAAAAGCACTTTACATACAGTCATTGTATTCTACAAAATAAAAACAACATGATTTTTTTTGATTCAAACGTTCAATAAATCAACAGTTATATGGCTAATCAAACAAAATTTTATACTCAAAATATAAAAAAATTCGACCTTGTCTACTCCTGTTCTCTATATGTAAAGAAATGACAAACGAGAAAAAAAACCTTTTTTTTTCTTTTCAATGTTGGGAAAGCAACAGCTTGTCTTAACTATGATGATGATCATCATCATCGTCACTAACAAGAAAATGAAAATAATAAAAAAAAAGACGAAACAATATATGTACACGTCTGTATATTTATTCTAAAATTGATTGTGAGAGAAAAAAAGAGAATGAAAAAGAATAAAAGAAAATTACAGTTTGTTCAATTTATTTGCAAGAGAAAAAAAAAGAACAGAAATGCTAACCTGTTCTATGCAATCACAAAAGAACAGTTGTAAGAAGAAAAGAATTTACCTCATTTAGATTAACAATTACTTTTTTCTTCAGTAGTAACATATGGCGTAAAATATAATTGAACAAACTATACCATCGATTTCTCTTATATACTATTCTTAGACAACCCGTTCAAGGTTTTTTTTAATGTATGCACTGTCATTTACATGAAGAGTTAAATACATTTGAGAGCAAGTTATTTCTCGTTAACATATCTTTCTATTCAATGACATGATTGAGTATCTCATAGATGAGTGTTTAATATAAAATGTAATGTGTTCATGTACGTGTTTCTACCTGGAGAATATATACAATGATTAAAAACAATGAGACACATTATTTTATTCTTATTTGAATTTATACTTCACCTGCTTTGTCGCAACTACTTGTCACATTAGAGCTCTATGTTAATATATGTTTGTGTGCGTAGATTGGATGTTTTATATAGTTGTCGACAAGATAAAAAAAAAGAAGAGAGAGAGAGAGAAAACAGAACAAGAACATTGTCCTTATTTGCGTATTAACATTATAATAATTTTTAATGGAGCTTATTTGATATATACATCAGAAATCCAAATAAATCTAATCATTCAAAAGACATCTATACATTTTTCTATGTCAATATAATATATAGGTAAGGTATTTGAAGCAAATAATAAATATAAAAACAGAATTATTAATACTAGCTTAAATCGTGCGATAATCGAATAGTTTATACATAATTTGAATTCAGTAAATGTACAGAAGCAACTGATTTTACTCATCAATTAGAATTAGATGTAACTTACCATATTCAAGGTAACCAGACACGTTGTTTAACCTTCAATCAAATAACTGCTTATAAAAAACGTATGAAACTTTTTTTTGATAAGTGTTTTAAGTTAAGTGTCACAAAAAAATTGTTTAATATATAAATAAAAATGCTAAGAAATGTAAAGTGACTTTGAAATATTCTTCTCCATCTCAATAGGATAATTTCAAATAAATACTTACACAAACAAAAACATACATAAAAGAAATAATAAAAAAAAAAGGTATACCAAAGGTTTGTTACGCATAGGTAAAAGAGATAAAACTTGCGTTTAAAATATTGTATACTTGATTAATTCAAAAAATCCTTGAATACATAATACATAGCGAAATCTTCTATTCTTGTCATATAAAATGTAGAAAAAAATACAATAATCTTAATTTACTTTGTAATATATGTAGTGAATTCTTTATTCTATTTTGAAGCATTTTTTTATTCTTAGTTTGTAATATGTTATGACTAGAGAGAACAATAACCTTCATGCTTTCGGTATCTAAATCACGTTATGGTTATGATTATAGCATAAAGACGATATATATATTAATTATTCTAAAATATGAAAATGTCTAAGTTGATTCTATAGGTTATTAGAAAAGACGTAACCTTGTCGCTTGTCTGCTCGGAAGTAAAGGTGTCATGAGAATGATTCATCACCGAACGAGTACATAGTTTATTTCTTAACGACAATATACTATCCGTTCTTATCAGACGAGAAAAAAAATTACGAATATATTTGTCATTCATCCGTGACACGAAAAAAACATAAACAAGATATATAATTAAAAGTTTGATTTTTTACTTCTCTTTTTCCGTCTGTGCGTTAAAAAGTATGTACAATTAATTAAATCTAAAATTTTATTTTTCAATTTTTATTAGAATTTTAATAGTAAAATCTTCTATCCCTTATAATATTTTTTTATGATATATGAGTATAAATTTTTGTTTTTGATCAATTTCATTCGTTTATATAGTTGTCTTTAATTACACACATTTTGTGTTTTATGATATACTAGATTAATGTTCTTTCTATCATCGAGCAAAATCATGAAAAAAAATTATCATGAAACGACGAGACATATAGAGTACATATACATTTGATTTTCACTTGTACATACTAGTCATTACCTAATCTATAATGTTTGCTAGTACTATTCGATCTTCCAGATTGAATAATAATAATAGTCCCAGACGTAACTTTTATATTTCATCTAAAATAGATCATCGTATAGGTAGAGGCATTCACATGTTTAATAACAATGGATATGGTTATTCATTTCGTTGGCATGGATTTGTACTTGGTTGTTTAATAATTTTATTTTCTGCAGCTTTATTATCATCAGAACTTGGACGTATTTATACAGGCTCGATTAATCGTGGACGAAACGATTCTAATGTAACATATCAATATTTAATAGATGCTAATGTAGTCATTGATTTTAATGGAGATATTCGAAATCCTAAATCGGAAAATCGATGGATTTGGCCATGGTCAACAGCTACATTGTTATTTAGTCTTGTAATATTGCTAACTGGTGCATTAGGTATTACAAGTGGTGTTAGACAGAGTTACTCAACGATACTAACCTTTTTTGTTGGTTTATTGGTATCGATATTTTTATTGATATTTGTAATAGCAACCTATGGAACAATAATTGCTGGTTGGAAAGGAATTGATAACAGTAATGGTGGTTTTGTATCAAGTTTTGAACGTAATGATAAAAGTTTTGCAAGTGCTTGTTTAGCAATTTCATGTGTATTATTTATTATTTTATTAATAAGTCTTGTACTATCCGGTAGAACTATTCATATATGTAAACAAAAAGATTATCCAAGACCAAATACACCAGGCTATACACCTATATCGGCACCGAATACACCTGGAGCTTTTCGAAGAACACCACAAATGCCACGTACGCCTCGTTTTTAGTTGTAGAAGATTAGAAAAATAAACACCTTGTAATATTCTTCTTTTTCTATTAAAATGTGTTTTAGAAATTAAAAATATCAAATATATAATTAGTAAACAGTTATGGAGTCACATTTGGAAAAGCCATTATTGGACAACTGTTGAATAAAATATTTCTTATATAATTGATCTTAAAATTTCCAAAGAAAATATCCATCAATTTCAAATAAAGAACCATGTTATGCTGCTAATAGTCAAGTATATAATATCTATTGTTGAATGATATGACTTATGCCATAGCTATGGAGACGAAATCAAAATTATAAGATCTTCTATAAAGAGAGATTGCTCTTTTACTATCACACATACAATAAAATATTATTTCTAACATTGAATTAGATCAAGAGGGAACAAACTGGTTTTCATTCCAGCAATATCAACTAAAAATCAGGGGAAATCACGAAAATCAAATCAGGAAATCAGTTTGTTCCCCCTTGGATGTAACTAATAGATATCGAACATTGATGAAATCAATAAATTTCGATTTCCGTAGAACTGTACATTAGAATACATTGAAATCATTGTTGATTTATTTCTTCGATTAGAATATTTCATCTTGAGGGTGAAATAACAAAGAAAATCTATTCATCTGCACGGTTTCGCTGCCTAAAAATCAATAATAAATCTTTAGTATTATCTTATGCACCGAACATATAATAAAAAAAAGTAAAAATTTCAGTTAAATTAGAAAAAGTATTCTATTGATTTGGTTTATGGTAATTTATAATTATATTGATAGACATCTAGCGGGCTAAAAGATATTAAGTACTTTCGAATAGATACGTGAATTTTCATTGAACAATTTTTAGAAGAGTGTGTGAGAGTAACTTCCTTCTTTACCATCATTATCATCACACTAGTCACATCTTTAAGTATACTTTCTCTCAAAGAATCAGCAGTAGTTTATTTATTTTCAAAGCGAGAATTTTATTGATTATTCAAAATGAATGATCTTATTTGCAACAGATCAGAGAAAAATAATTAAGCCTATGAAACTTTGCTATAGTGTTTTGCACTTTGAGTAATTGCAATACATATAGTTTCATGTATGCAGAAAAGTTTCATAACTAGACATGTTATTATAAAATAATAAATTACTGCCCAATGTATGAATATACTGGTGTATTTGCCAATATTATCCATAATCGCAATGCTTTGTTGAAATTCGTAATATCGAGCGAACCTAAATAGCATTTCGTATCGTATAATGTTTTATAAGCGTAATGTTTTTAGTAGAATAGTAAAATGTTAATGAATAAATAAAGGTTAGTCATTGATAAGCCTTAGCAATGCAAGAGAACACTGACAGTGTTCGAACCAAAGTTTGCAACAATAATATCAGGTTTAGTGTCGCTATTCACATCGGCAACTGCTAATGACCGTGGAGTACTGCCAACTGAGTAATTAGTTTGAGTATTAAAAGTGCCATTGCCTGCAT